CAAAAAATTCCGGCAGGCGGTTATTTTTTTTGTTGGTAAAACTGGTGACCTTGACCTCAGGTCAAATTTTGAGCTTAGATCAACTTTGAGTGCTTATTCCAGAAACCTCTAAAAGAGCTATCGAATACACTGATTCATGGGCAATTTTGTAAAAAAAAAATGAAAAGGCGAAATTTAACCTTTGATGACTTTTGTTGCCCTATTCTTTGACCTGAGGCCAGTTTTACCAACAGAAAAATAGCCGTCTGCCGGAATTTTTTGCCTGAAGACCGCTTCACATGCGTAACATAAACGCGATGGGCATATAAGCGGATAGGGCTTTACCGTTAACGCTCCGTATGTGAAGCCCGAAGCCGTCTTGAAGCGAAAAAAATTGCAGCAGGCGTCTATTTTTATGTTGGTAAGATTGGCCTCTGACCTAAAAAAAATGACTAAAGTAAGTTCGTCATGATTTTTTACGCAATTTCGAATGCCGGTGACCGCATCTTACATGCCGCTTACTCCTGTGCCGCTAAGTGGCACAGGAGCCGAGCAGAAGCGTTCAATCCCCCCTCCCCCCAGCCCGGCACGGCTGGCGCCGAGCACCGCCCCAGCGCGGGTTAAAGCGTCTGTCATTGACATGTATATGCGAGCTATTGCATTAACTAGTCTCACGAGCCACGGTCAGCATATTGCCCGAGTAAACATCTTGCCCGTGAGCTGAAAGGTGGGTAGTATGCATACTACCCGGGCAGTATGCAAACTTCCCGGGCGGTATGCATACTGCCCAAGGGGTCGGGTAGTATGTATACTGCCCAAGGGGTCGGGTAGTATGCATACTACCCGGGCGGTATGCATACTGCCCGGGCTGTTGGGTAGTTTGCATACTGCCCGGGTAGTTTGCATACTGCCCAAGTTAGCATATGACCCGTAACATATATATTGGAATTTGGATGTTTCTGCGGTCTTGATGTGGTGGCTTAACGAATTCCATTTATTTAGGGTCTATTCGTGAGAAAAAACATTCCCTCGTCAACGTCTAGTGGTGGGGCTTGTACAATTTGAGTTAATCTCACTATGTTCGGTTTTGTACGGTTGGTTGAGGTCACACTCATGGAGCTGATGGAGGATTTTGTGAGTCTCGTCTCCCCGTTGTCTTCTCTCTTCTAGGGTGGTAAGCTTAAGCCGACTCTGCCGTTCTGGATACTTTAACTCTTGCATTTCCACAATTCTTCTGGTAGCTGCTCTGTGAACTGCTTCAATCTTCTTGATATTAGATTTCTTATTAGAGGACCATACTTGGGGGCAAAATTCAACATGAGTTCAAATTGTGAGGGCGAACAAATGTTTTGTATGCTAGGCTAAACAATGCCGGACTCAGCTTTTCAAATGTTCTCCTTACCAGTTACCATGCCCCAGCTGGCATGTGGTCGTTGAGTGCATAGCTTAACCCTCGTCCGTATTGGTGTTTTTCCAGCCGCGAACGTATTATAAGGGGGTCCGTTTGACCCCCCCCCCTTGCCGTTTCGCCCCTGATCGAACTAGAGCTTCGCGGAAAAAGAGCGTGTTGCCCGTGACGAGAGGAAGCCGATGATACCCTACTTTAAGGTCCTAGGTCATCGGTTGACTTTCCAGGTCAGGTCAATGACACAATAGTCGGGAAAATTGGGATCCGTTAGAACGTTGTAAGGGGTAGCCGCTATCAAGATTCCTTTGCTACTCAATGGGGCTGCAATGGGGTTTTTCGGGGTGCTGATCACGAATATCATATTAGTTTTGATTACAGATGATGCCTTCATGCATTTAGGCCAGGTCGGGTCAGGTCAGGTCAGGACAACCAGTAGAAGTCCTGCCGAGTATTTGTAGTAGGTGTCAACCGCCTCTGACATCTTCGTTACATGCTACGAAGACACCAAAACTATTTCGTAAATGTTCATATGGTTGCTAAATTCGAATTCAGCTCCAAAAACTAGCCTAGAAACATGCAAAACTTGAAAGTGAACCGAGGTCATCAAAGGTCAGTGACCTGACCTGACCTTCAGGTGACCTTGACACCCACCCTAATGCATGGGACCAACATCATATCACATGTCTGAACACTTGAAACCACGAAAAGACTGCAAACCCGCGGCTAATGCGAGCTGACATACGCCGAATCGCGATTCCGGCCAAACATGGTCTCGAAAAGTAGGTCACAGGTCAAAGGTCATTTGGGTCAGGGTCATGAAATTTTCAGGGTAGGTGTTAAATTGACTAAAGCGAGGGCACTGAAAGTTTTGTCGCGATCGACCGCTTTTTGCGCGAGTATTTCGCGGAAAACTGAGGGGGGGGGGTCCGTTCGACCCCTCTATCCTACGGGGGGAGGTCGAACGGACCCCTTAACACCCTAACGGGCGAAGGTTGATACGTGTGTTGAAATCCAGCGAGGAGTCAACAATAACACCTAGGTCTCTTTGTTCGTTGGTGTTCTCCAGCTTAGTACCACCAAGCGTGAAGATGGGCCTACTATCGGGCATCATTTGCTTGGCAGGTACCTATTCGAAGAGTCTGACACTTTGAGGCATTATAGACGATATCATATCTGCTATGTAAACTTCGTAATCAACCCCTTACAACCTTAAGTTCCCACACTCCTCCCCTCCACCGTACTCTCGCCGTACTACGTGCGCGTCGCCGCTCGGCATCACTCTTCCTCCTATGCAAATTCCTGCCACCAGATGTCACCCACTTCGCTGTCTCGAGGCGAATAAGTCAATGGGGGAAAAATCAACTCCCTGTTTTTACCACTAAAACGGATCGGAATGGCCCCATATACCATACATGACTTCATATACGATCAACCTTCACTACCTTGAGGTCTGTTTTGCTGTTGGGCAGCTGTAAGGTCATGTGACGTCATCAAAGGTCACCAAAGGTTTTTTGCCAATAACTCCGTACAGGAACAAGATACAGCCGTGCGGATGGTCTCATTGTGTTCAGCTCATCAAGACGCATCGAATGATATACATGATGACCTCGAGGTCACGTGACCTGAGGTCAACCTTTGACCTTGACCTTTCGAGGTCAATATATATATATATATATATATATATATATATATATATATATATATATATATATATATATATATATATATATATATATATATATATATATATATATATATATATATATATATATATATATATATATATATATATATATATATATATATATATCATTCGATGCGGATTTACGAGAGGATCACGATTATGCCCTTAGTTTGTTCCTATCTTGACTAATTCGAAATTTATTCGAGAAAAACTCTCTCCATATCTAGCGCCGCCATTGTGACTTTTTCGACCCCTGTGACGTCATCTTTGACCTGACCTGAAAATGACCTTAGTTAAAATTGTAGACCTTGTCCGTGCGTATCCGATTCCGTTTACCGCTTGTCGCTATCTTGCTTCGTTCTCGAGATCTCAGGGGGGGGGGCGGTCATCCGCCCCCCCCCCCCGTCGGTGCGAAGTTGGCGCAGACCCCCGTCGGTGCCCTGGTTAATCAGCCACCAAAATAAACGGCAAAACATTCCTAAAATAATTCTAACATTTGTGTTGATGTAAGCGGGCCACTCTGGCTGCAGCTGCCACTCAGGCTCTTGGCGCCACCCCTATAAATCGGTGCCACGCAGTCAGGTGAATGACGTCACGTTCTACTCTATTGTAAATGAAACGTGTACGACTCTCCATGACGACTACTACGCCCTGCCCATTATTATTCATTCTTTTGATATAGCACGCCTCGGCAGGGACAGCGGTGGCACGGTTTCCATTGACCTTCTTAACTTGACATTCAACATCGGTGCACGTTGGTAGGTCACGCAAAACGCGTGCAAAATATGCACACGTAGTTACATACGTCACTGTTTGCACTCAACGACATTGGCACGTCATTTCCAAGAAACGGAACAAATATCGACCTGCCGAGCAGGAACGACTACCCATGGTCGACCGAACCGACTACCCCGAGCCTGGCCCGCGGAGGTGTCCACCCCTGGCCTGCCAAGCGGTCCAGTGTCAACCCATGCTCCACCGAACTGTTCAGTATCCCTCTCCTGCCCCCCTCTCCGGACTGGGCAGTGTCCATCCCTGGCCAGCCGTACGGTCTGTACCTGGTCCCCGAGCTGACCAGGGCCCAGTGTCCACTTCTGGCCCCCTGAGCTGCTCACTCTCCACCCCTGGCCCGCTGAGCTGTTCAGTGTCCAGTGCCCATCCTTGGCCCGCCGAACTGTCTTCTGTCCACCCTTGGCCTGGCCGAGTTATTCGGTGTTCGCCGTCCGGCGCCCACCCCTGGCTCTGTGAGCTGTCATCCAGTCCAGTGCCCACTCTTGGTCCGGCGAGCTGTCCACTCTTGACCCCTGTCTCACTGAGCTGTCCATTCTCGACCCCCTGGCCCGTCGAGCTATCCACCTCTAGCCCACCGAGATGTCCGGTATCCAATACAGGCCCGCCGAGCTGTCCAGCGTCCACTGCCCATCCCGAGCCCTCTGATCTGTCGACCGTCCGGTGTCCACTGCCCATCCCGGGCCCTCTACACTGTCTATGTACTGTTCGCCCCTGGTCCACAGAGCAGCTGCTCACTATCCACTGTTCACCCCTGACCCGCAGAGTGGTCCCTGTCTACTGTGCACCCCTGGCCCACTGAGCTGTCCATCGCCCACCCCTAATCCGCCGAGCGTCTTCCAGTGTCCACAGTCCACCCGGCCCTGGCCCGCTGAGTGTCGCCCTGGCCCTCCGAGTCATCCACCCCCAATCGTGGTCTAATGGCGCCGGTCCAGCCGCCGTCCACGACCGCTCGTGACTGGGTTCCACTGGTCACGGCATGGGGGTTAATCGATACGCGGCCGGCGTAACAATAGTGGGCCACTGTCAGTGACGCGTCCGGCACCGGACCGCCGCGGCGGCGGCGCTGCTCTGTCGGCGTCGACGCAGCCGTCGCGTGACGGAGCCGACTCTGCGCTGTGACGGCCGAGGGCGACGGAGCCGACTCCGCGCTGTGACGGTCGAGGGAGACGGCGACGGTCAGCGGCTCCGCCAGTAGTCTGTGAGGATTGTGCGGGACGGCTCGATCTCTTTCTTGCATTCCGTGCACATTCCAAGCCCGTTCCGTGGTCACTCTGTGACCGTTCTGTGTCCGTTCCGTGATCATTCCCTGCCGGTTCCGTGTCCGTTCTTTGTCCATTCCGGGTCCGTTCCTTATACGTTCCGTGATTATTCCCGGCCACTTCCGTGACTGTTCCGTGACTGTTCTGTGTCCATTTCGTGTCCGTTCCGTGTCCGTTCCGTGCCCGTTTCGTGGTATTTCACGTCCGTTCCGTGCCATTTCCGTGCTGTCACGTGCCGGCCTAGCTCCACCAATCGGCGCGACGCTCGGCTATTATGAAAGCAGGTATGTGTGCGTCGTTATTGGGTGTGTTTTTTTTTCGATGATTTGGGTGGCCGTAGACAGAACAAACAAGGCTGGTCACGACAGCGCGTTGAAAATGTCCGAGCCCGCATGTGTTATATGCACAGGGGCAAAACAACAGTCGTGGGTCGTGTCGTGTTGGTGCAGCTGTCTGTCCACTGCCTCGCCGTATATCACCTGTTATTGTAGCATAATGAATAGGAATGCGAATGGGTTTCATGCAAAAATGTGTCAGCACATTCGGATTACGTGTGTAGTTGTGAAAGAATAAAGCTCGTAGAGTGATATTCTGAAATATGAACTAGGCGCAAGTAGGTTCAAAGAACTGTCTGTACATTTGCAAAGCTGATCATCCTCGCTTGATTCTTTATCAAAATGGTTGTCATTATTATGTTAATTCTATTCACGATTACAGCTTTGGCTTACAAATTATTCATTGCATATCTGTTGGCCATAGCTGTAATTATGTAAATTAAAGTCCTAAGATATGCTTTGTGATTTCTCCTCAGAAATTAAACACTCACATAATTGACAATATCGTTATAGGTTTATGATCAATATCTTATTTACCGTCATGCATTGCAATGTTTGTCATGTTTTGCGATAAACCTGTGAGATATCATAATCATTATGAAGCAACATGAGCGTATAAAACCAAGACCATTCCAGTAAAAGCCATTCAGCAGCAGCAAAAGGACAGCGGAAAATGAATATAAGATGCAATTACTCAATGATTACTCCATGGAAGCCGCCTTCACTCTTTCAGCATACCGATTTCTGTTTTGACGAAACTTGTTTGGGCAATTTCGCATGTTTTGATGATATGCTGAAGTCGTGCTTGGGCGCATTTTGATCGTATATATGCAAAATGCACATTGCACAATATGTACACGCGAATGCAGTATGAGTGTGGGACTAGGTGCATGTGCTAGTAGATCATTTCAAGTTTCAAAGTCATGACCAATAACGGATATGTGTCATATCATTGACGTTGCATCATCTCTGAACGCAGGAAAATCGTCTAGCTGTTGTTCAATTAGCAGTGGATCCTACGCGCGATAACCCATTAGGCAACCCACTTTGACGAACGGCATTATTGGTTTGCCAGATGGCTTGATTTCAAACTTTGATACGCCTACCCAATGTTATGGTAAATGTGAACCGTGATGAATGCAGAACCAGTGTGTAGTTACGAACACCTCATTGAATGGTCTAGTCTGTCCGTGTCTCCCTTTTGATGGGTACTATTGACACGGAACTCTGCTAGAAGGTCGATCAGCAGTGCCGCACGGCGCCGGCTCATCACTCGAGTTTGCCAGACATTGAAATACGGGGCCAATGTAAACACGCTAACGATCGTCGTGCAGATACCGAGGGAGTTAAGTAGCCGCTTTGGAACTTCGCCGGCTGCCAGCACGTCTTAACGGCATACCGCTCGATATCACCAGCTCTGCGGCTGCGTGCAGAGTTCATCACGGCAACATCGGAATGGTGTGCCAACTAATCGCTTTGACAATGGCATTAACCCGCGCCCCACTGGGGTCTGTGTATAACACGCCCTACTGGGGGGGGGGGGGGGCTATTCATAGCCCCCCCCCTCCTAACTCCGAAACTACTGGGCCGATCGTCAAAATTCAAACGGCGTCTGATAGCCCCGGAAAAACTGTCGAGCAAAACCTAATTTCATTGACCTCGAGGTCACCGATGACGTCACAGGTCAGGTCAAAGTAAAAATTATTAGCACTTTGGCTTGTTCACATTTTGGGCTCTGGCCACCGTCTTACAAGTCAGATCAGGCTCATTTTTGGTTTCCACACTCGTGAACAGATGTTCTAGATACCTTGAGGGTACCAAACTTGTACTTTGATTTTCAGGTCAGGGTCAGGTCATCACAGGTCACGAAAATATCATATCATGCGTCGGTCACGTGACACATGTTTTATGGTCCATTTAGGCCATAGATTTCGAATTTGATGTCGTCTGTGTCATTCAAAGTCATTTTGAGTCGAAATTAGCTTAGGTCAGGTCACTTTCAGGTCAAAAAAGGTCAAATTTTGAAGTTGAAATTTTTCAACAAAAAAGGTGTCTATTGGATGCAGTTTGAGCTCAGGAACACGATGGTGCCATTTATATTGGTGTACGATGCCAAATACGTTCTGAAAAATTGATTTGAAAAATTAATAATTATGAATTTTTTGCAATAATGCGTATAACTTGGCCATTTTTGAAGATATTTAGCTAAAACTTGCTAGAGTTAGTCATAATCATGCGTTCTGTCACATATATTCCGGTTTTTTCGAAAAGTCAAAAACTTTTTGAAAAAAATATAAAAATATAAATTTTGAATATTATTATATAAAATTTTTCGAAATTTTCAAAATTTTGAAAATCCGAGATAGCAGTTTGATAGCGCGGTCAATTCTGAGTTCTTTCATGCAAAGAAATTGGATCTAGCTTAAAAACTGAGCTCTTGGGAGCGATTGCCGTGGTTCAATGTTTTGCGTCGAAATCGGACGAACATGACGTCACTCTGACGTCATTTCCGGCCGACCTATGGTAGCTACGAAGTTCAAATTTTGACACAAGGTGTCAAATTGATGCAGCCGAAGGTACGGAAAGTTTGGCGTCGATTCGTCAAGCGGTTTGGAAGTTATTGCAGAAAAACGGGAGGGGGGGGCTATAAATAGCCCCCCCCAGTGGGGCGCGGGTTAATGGGGTCCAGAATCCCTAATACTGTTGAGATTTTGGAATCTAAGCCTAAAACGTATCTGAATAGTTTCAGCAATGTACCTACTATCTGCAGTTGTTTAAATATGGTGACTATTAACTTTGTCAATTGTGTGAAATGTGAAAAAGATGACAACAATACCGACAGTACCGACAGTACCGACATAAGGCACTGATAACTATTTGCTACGATTTTGTTGAAACTTTTTAGGAAAGCACATGCTCAACACGTGATTATAGTCTACACCCGTGATAAAAGCGCACCATTACGCGCATTATAATGCATTAGTGGAAAAAGCGTGCCTCATTTGTCATCTTGCTGATGTTTTCCTAATCATTCTTTTCCAGGAACTCGGATTTTCGACATATCGAATAGGCCAATGGGAACGATGGAGGACACTCCTGGATTCAGCATGGACACCCGAGATCCCAACAACCTCAACCTTCACCTTCAGGTGCGAACAGCTCTGCTCTTTACTCCAGCATGTATTGTAAACACGACGTAGTTGTAAAACAATAAGGTTTGCACCTTCATTGGTGTTCACATAAGCTAACCATAGATTTAGTAGTTCAAATAAGATTTAGGACCCTCAAACTTCTCAACAGCAAATGCTTGCTACAGGAGTTTCACAGCCGTCAAAAAATATATCAGAAAATAAACTTATGTGTAATTTAGTAAATAAGCATGGTGCATCGCTATTTCTGTGCGGAAATTTGTCAACAATCTTATGTTAGACACGTTTCACGAATCTGATTAATAAGCTTTGCAGCGACGTTCATGTCTCGCTAAACATTACAAATGGAGCCATTACCACCAAGAAGTAATAGACCGCGCAGTCCAATGCTGTTCCCACAATGGACTGCCAGAAAAAAACTGGTTTTCCGTCTAACCACCACTACAGTGTGACCACACACACCCTGCCGCTGTCTGTCATCTGTTCCCGCCTCATGCCCCGTCCAGCACCGGCCGCTTCCGGCGTGGTGCTCCAGTTTATGGGGCCACCTTGAACTGGGCGGCGCCGCTCCCTCTCCCCGCTCCCTGCTCCCCTCCGGCGCTCTGACGCCAGTGTTTGGCGCATATCGAGAGCGAGACCATGCTCGGCCGGACACGGCACAACAGCGAGCCATAAGCGGCCGGCAGATGGGTGCTGATATTGTCCGACCGGCCGGCGCGGCGGTCAGGAACGCCGCGATCGTATCTGGCTGCGCCCGCCCGGCACACCATCTCTGTTCATACACCGGGATCACCCGGCTCTCAGCTGTCCGGTCACCCGGCCCCACACGTGGTCCGTGACCGTCAGCCCCCGCTCACCCGGCCCCACACGTGGCCCGTGACCTTAAGCCGCCCCCACCTAGGTCACCCGGCCCCACACGTGGTCCGTGACCTTCAGCCCCCCCCCCCCCCCACCACCACCCCGGTCACACACAGCTACCTTAGGTAGGTAGGTAGCCTTCCCACCACATTCACCTCTCAGAGACTGAGTCTTTCAGATGGTCTCTCAGATGACCTTCAGATGACCTTTGGCATGAGCTCCACATGACCTTAGATGTATGTCAGGTGGACCTTGGAATAACTTGTTGTGTAGTGACCATACATTTGATCTTATGAAAGATGTGAGATGATCTCCATGCCAATAGTGGATTGGTAACAACTTAGTAGGACTTTGCAATTACATGCATAACCAACGTACAATGTTTTTACACACATCATGCACGGATAACACACATGCAGTTTGTTTGCTCGATTTTGCTATTCATCATCACATAGATTTTGGTAGGCACAAGTCTAGACACGTGTAGTCATGCCAATACCCGGAACATTAATTGGAGGTAATGATGATTCAAATTTTGTCTTAGAGCTTTAATGAACTGCCAGGCAGAGGTGCTGCTTTAGCAGACCGCTTCGTCAAATCAGGGCGAAGTACCTACATTGAGAATTACTCGAGGGTAAGAGGGCCGCGAAAACACTGAATAATAATAAAAACAGTGGGAGTTGAGACACTGAGATGTCTGCATTCAAGGAGCTCTCTCAAATCATACAACTGCATGTGCAAGCACAGTAATCAGCATAAGACCAGCCATTCCCTTTCAATCGTGACTCTCATTTTTTAGGCTAACCACATGGTAATTATCCACTTTGGGCATTCACCAGCACCTTAGCGTGTCCATCGGCGAGGCCCTGTTGCCATGTGGGTTCGCGGTCCATGCAGTTGTTCACTGGTAGCGTGGATGACTAAATCAACAACCATATAATGATACACAGTGGCTGACGTTATACATGTATATAACTAGCGATGAACAATGGAGGAAATATATTTACCTGAACTGTTTGTCTCACAGATTTCCTCAATATTTCTCATTGATAGGTGAACCACATGAACAAAAAATGTTGCACGCGTTCTTTGCATTCTATTGAGTGCGTCTGACGAGGCTTGACCCACCGACGACAGGTGCTGTGGGACGACATCATTGCCGAGCCGGAGGGCATTCAGAGCGGCGACTGCACGTGGCGCACCTCCTACAAGTGCTTCTACGGCACCAAGCACTGCTGCTACCGGGTGCTGTCGTTCATCCTGGGCCCGCTCTTAGCCTGCTGCCTCGGCTGCCAGTTCGCCTGCCTAGCATTCCAGGTGAGATAATCCGCAGCTATCAGTTCCAGGTGAGATAATCCGCGGTTCCCAGCTTCCAGGTGAGATAATCCACGGAGGTTCTGAGGTGAGATAATCCTCGGCTACCAGTTCCCAGGTGAAAAAAATCCGGGGCTACCAGTTCCCAGGTGAGGTAATCCACGGCTACAAGTTTCCAGGTGAGATAGTCCTCAGCTATCAATTCAAAGGTGAGATAATTGCCGGCTACCATTGTTTCCAGATAAGGCAATCATCGGCTGGCAGATGATCTGTGAGATGCTCATGAAGCTGATAGATTATCAGCCGGCTTCCAGTCCCCAGGTGAGATAATCCGCGGCTACTACCTCTAGGTGAGATAATCCGTGGCTACCAGCTCTCAGGTGAGATAATCCCCGGGCGGCTGGCAGATCATCTGTTTGATAGTCCCGATTGGCTGGCAGAGCACATGTGAGATAATCTCAGAAGACGGTTTATCTGTGAGATAATCCGGGGCTGCCAGTTCGCGTATCTAGCCCATATAATATGATACTGTCCTTGGCTGGCATGTGAAGCTGTCCTTCCTCTGCCATTACTTTACACTTCTGCGGGTTCTGCCACAACGTGTTATACCTACCGTCACAGCAAGTTCTACAATGTATACTTTCTTTTCCAATTTTGATATGAAAATATAGCACTAAAATTCCCATACAAGGACTTCACCTGATCATTCTATTTTAACAAAAAAGGACAAATTCAAAGGAGACGGGGACATGGCTGCTACAGCGCAAATTTACAGCAGGTAAAACCACAATGGTCACTACGGTTCACACAAATGAACGTGCTGGGACGGCAATGGTCCCCCGCTCCCATCGCAAGCGGGGATAGGGGCTGGTCTGTTCTAGTTAGTGGTATGAGAGGCGGGGGAGGGGTCACGCTATCGACCGTTCAGCGTCCTGTGACCTCTGTACGGCCAGACGGCTGGCACCGACCCGTAATGAGCCGATCGCCTTTATCGGCCACCTGCCTCGGCGGGCCCATGTGGCATGAGCGGAACCGCAGAGGGTACAGACGACGCTGGCCCTCCATATTCTCAGAGAGTTATACAACGTAAGGAAAAAATACCGGACTTCTTCATTATCCCGCGCGGGGCTGAGGGTGGGGGGGGGGGGGGGGGTAAATTTTACCCCCCCCCCTGTTATTTCCCGAACTAATGGTCCGATTTGGAAATGTCAAACGCCAATCGAAAGATCTCATCAAGAACAACTAAAAACATATACTTAATTTCAAGTTTGAGGTCAAGGTCAAGGTCAGGTCAAGGGTACAAATTGCAAGTTTCTACGGTATCGGCCTTGCACCGTAGTTGCCGAAGAATGGAGTCATGGACTGACACTGATTGCCCAAAACGTGTTCTTAGGCTACCAAGACAATATTCGTTGCATACAATATCATTCAGAGGTCAAGGTCAAGGTCAGGTCAGGTTAGGTCAGGTCACCAAAAACAAGATATAGAAAAGGGCATGTGCGACACATGTTTTATGGGTAATTTTACTCATAGAATTCAAAAGGCACACTCAATAAGTGATATGGACCACCTCTGAATGAATTTCAGGTCGAGGTCAGGTCAAGGTCAGGTCAAGTGAGGTCAAATTTTGAAGCTGGTTGTTAAGGCCTAAAAAGGTGTCTATCTGATGCAGTTTTCACGGCGAATCAAATGGTGCTATTTTTGTTTCCGTACGAGGTCTAAAACTTCCAAAAAAAAATCATTTTTCAAAATTTTTATGTGTCGTGACGTCATAAAATCTTTAATAACTCCCACATTTTTGAACCGATTCTTCTAAAAATTGGTATGTAGGTGCACATAGACCACTTCTCTGACCTATATTCCGGTTTTTTGATACACTCAAAATTTTGGATTTTATAATTATTTTCCCAAAAGTCAGTTTTTTTAAATTTGGGCCAAAATCCAAAATTTTCAAAAAAAAACGAGATAGCCATTTGATAGACAAAGTAGAATTACGTATAACCTTTTTGTTACGTCTTGATTCCTTTAAAAATGAAAATGTTAGCGGCGTTTGAAATCTTGCCGTTTTTGAGGCGAAAATGGCGAACATGACGTCACTAAAACGTCAATTTCTCAAAAATTTTCCGACGGATTTCGCTCAAATTTTCAGGGAACGTGTCAAATTGATGTAGAAAAAGGTACTGAAAGTTTGGCGGCGCTGCGCGCCGCCATTTTCAAGATATTGCAAAAAATCGCGAGGGGGGTAAAATTTACCCCCCCAGCCCCGCGCGGGTTATCTCATGAAATTCCTCTCAAAATATGAACAGAAAGGACATCGTCCCCGTCGCCTCAAAGGCGATTTCCACTTCCGATCGCAGCTATCCCTTCACGGCTCAAAACTTCATGCGGCTGAGAAAAAAGGCTTACTATGCATGTAACAGATTCCTATCTCAAATAGTTGTGAGCTTGATTGTACCATGAATTGTACTAATGGAATAGCATAAGCCTGCACTCTGCAGCATAATCATCGTCATCTGAGTTGATGTTTTTTCTTGAGGCCATCATTTAGCTGCCTACGAGTATTTTATATTTTATTTTTAAGTCAACTTTTCGCCCAGTAAAATGCAATTGCTGCTGTTGTTGTCAAAAACAGGATGACAGCGTTCAGTTGTCCATAACAGCCTGTCCCGTAATTCAGTTGGTAGATCGTTGTACTCCCGGTAGTGAGAGGTCAGGTGCAAGTTGCTCTGAGGCTCGATATTTGTGATTGGATGGTCTGTGATTGGTGGGAGCAGCCGCAACCAGTTGAGGTCAATTTTGTGGGAGAGGTCGTGACCGACTTTGATACATCGGGCACGTTGCACGTTGGTATAAAAAAAATCTGACACGGGGAGCCCGAATAACCTGGAATTGCGCGATCGGAAGTTAAGGATCTGGGCTTACACAGCAAGATTTGCGTAGCGTAGGCTCCGGCTATCCGTCCATTCAAACGGTATTTCAGCTTTTTTACTCGGTGTTCTGGCACCCTTTCTTAACTTTGTTGCAGAGCCAGTTCAAGGAGGGCCTTAGCACGGCTCTAAATCCTTGAAGTGCTGCGTACGTCCAATGTTACTGGCAAGTCTTTGTATAGCAGAGCCAAGGAAAAAAACGGGTTGGAAATGAAATAGCACTTTACCCAGAAGACAACCGCCTAGTTTCATGCTAAATTCCATGAGAAATAATCACATGTAATTGTCCGACTTTCAATTTCTTTTCCGCTGTACAACATGCAGCCAGTCATGGTCATAGAACATCTTTTAGACCGATCCTTATCTTGTAATGAGCAATACCCCTCTATTTTCTCACTGCCACACCCTTTTTCTCACGAAATTAGTGATAACTCAACATTACAATCACTCAATGCATAATAACTGACTCGTTGTGACGTCTTTAGGCCGCTAAATAGCTGCAATATAGCATTTGCCTATTGACTTGATCATGTAACGCCACTGAGCCACGCTCCTGTCAGCGTGCTTCTGAAATTGGTTGACGAGCCGCACCCACGGAAAATCCGGCGGCCGGCCACCGTCCGACGACCCAGCGCGGCCGATTTACGAGGTCGAGTCGACGGTGAACGGGACGTACGCAGTTGCCCCGCTCGGCGGCGCGGCGGCCAGTCGTTGGCCGACGCACCTTTTCCGCCTCGTCTGGGCGCCGGATAGAGCGAGGGTGAGAGGGAGAGAGGGGTGCCCGGGGCGCTGCTGAACGTGGGGAGGGAGCGGAGGGTGGAGATAGAGTGTGGAGAGTAGTGACGGACTGCGCGAGGGGAGATCGCGGTGCTCACAGCAGGAACACCAGGGTCATGCTGGTGCACCGGCCGCCTCCGGCTTCCACACCCTCATGAGTGAATATCCGGGCTTATAGCGGCGATCGTTCTGGAGCATTGCCGGAAATTGGTTCAGCGTAGCCTGGGGCTGGTACAAAGTGACCTCTCTTGAACAGATTGGTCTCTTGACCACTGCACCTGGCACGATGGGCATGATTGCAGGGATCAAAACACGCCTCAAAATACAATCAAATTGACTATGATGATTAGGATTGCAATGAATACTTATATGAAAAGTTCACATAATTTATAGTAGTAAAAATGGAAAAGACATTCACTATAAGGCACCAACAAAATTATTTCCATTTAATTGTAAACGTCATGCCAAAATTACCTCATCCTAGCTGGCATCGGCATGATATAGTTAATGAAATAAATCTGACGTAAGTTATCTTGTCTGCCTAACATGACTTCGGTGCTTTAGCAAGATTACTAACGATTAATCATAAAAAGCTGATCATTAAAATCAAGCGGCATTCCTATTCAGCATATAAATGAGATCAAAAGTACGTAGGTAATAAGTGAGCTGCCTTTGCTGGAAAAGGTAATCATGAAAATAATTTAGATGTTCATTATACCAGAAAAAGAATACTTACCTTGCGCCATAATCAAGGCCTATGGCAAACTCATCTTTTTTCTAGACCACGTTTCTGGATGTAGATAGTTCCTTCATCCGTGCAGCAATGGTGAATATATAGCTTACATGTACAGTCTGTCTTAAAAGTACCGCGCAAAGAAACGGTGGAGTCATCAAGCCTGACCGAGGAAGGGCCTGCTAAATTTGAGTCACCGAAGCAATTGACATTCTCGTCCATTCCAGGTCAATTGGTTCGGTGACTTTCAAATTAAAGCAGGCCCTTCCTCGGTTAGGCTTGATGGATCCACAGTCACTTTGCGTGGTACTTTTAAGACAGACTGTACATATATGCATAATTCATATGCTACTTATTTGTGTTACATGATTCAAATATAATCTCTATCAGATTCGACCTTCAAGTACATCAATTCACCACAGAACGACTTTTGTAATAATTTGCTGTTCAAAGCTAATATACCAGGATAAGGAAGGAGACGGTGAAGCTATAGGTATCCCCTCCCTCCTTTCTCCACCTGATGGCAGCTATGACTGACACCCACCCTCCGTTTTTCCGCAGCACATCTGGTGCAACACTCCGTGCTTGCGACAGTGCAAGATCAACTGCAACTTCGTGCGCGCAGTCAACCGCGTGTGCATGCAGGCCACGCTGGCGCCCTGTTTCGATGTCTGCGGCATGATGTTCCAGCGAATTCGAGTGCGCCATGGCCCTCTGCCCTCCGAAGATCCGAAAGAGGAGGACCTCTTTGTCGTGTAAACGCCGCGAAAGCGCATAACACGTCGTGCAACATCGGATGCCCGCCACTCTATCCAGGGCGGGGTAAAGAGAGAGGAGAGAGAGAGAGAGAGAGAGAGAGAGAGAGAGAGAGAGAGAGAGAGAGAGAGAGAGAGAGAGAGAGAGAGAGAGAGAATGTAGGAGGTCGTCCGGTGAAGGAGGGAAGATCGTCCTTCGTGATAGATAGATAAGAGTACCCAGTGAGAGAAGGAGAGCACGGAGGTCCTTGATGAGAGAGAGGAGGGTTGCCGATGAGAGAGGGAGGGGCGCCCGGTAAGAAAGTGTAGAATGTTCGGAGAGAGAGAGAGAGAGAGAGAGAGAGAGAGAGAGAGAGAGAGAGAGAGAGAGAGAGAGAGAGAGAGAGAGAGAGAGAGAGAGAGAGAGAGAGAGAGAGAGAGAGAGAGAGAGAGAGATAGAGAGAGAGAGAGAGAGCGAGAGCGAGAGGGGGAGGGAGGGAAGAGAGCGCCCAGTAGTAAGTCATGTGACCCTGTATGCGGAACTTCTTTCCGCACATCGACGGGTCGCTGCACAGTGCACACATATCTGCACCTTATTATAGCTAGCACTTTTAAAAATGGTATCCGAAGGTTGGGACTTTTCAATTAAGACAATCACTATTCTTTAGAATTGTGATTTTCTTATGTCAACTGCCAGAACGACGTATCAATGCGGATAGATAGGTGGTGCTAGCGCATTTACGCCATCGCTTGTTTAATCACACGGTTATGGAAATGCGATTGAATATTGACTATCATGTTTTTATTCGTCGGAAGAGCAATATCTGTGCTTAATGATATGCGTATTGCGTAGGTGCAAACAGCCAGTATGTGTGAAGTGTGAGCGAGGAGTGGAAAGTGAAGGACAGCTTTACAAGCATGACGATTTTTGCGTTATTTGGGCTTAAATGATGTGACGGCAATAGGAACATGCAAGCTCTGTGTGTCCGCATGACGTTTACTGATGATTATTAGCCCACATTGTCATAGTATATCATAAATAAGTAGCCTTTCCGGTATCACTTAATGTTTTAGCTCCTTGCGCTGTGGATGAGCTTAACGTTTTATCGCATTCGCAGCCATATAATAAGGAGGACCATGAAATGTTAAGGGGCCAGATCCATTATGATCAGCAGCAAGTGACCACAATGCATGGCAAGGTTAAGGCATTTATGGTGAAGTAGCTGCTTCTAATGTTTTTTTTTTTGCACACGATTGCTCTTTGTTGTTTAATTTGATACTACCGCGAACAAATACTATCTTTGCAAATAAAATATCTATCTTTGCAAATATCTTTGCAAAATGCAAATATTTTGGCATTCATAATGTGTGTTTCATGCAACCTTACAGGCTGCTATTGTTCATTGCCATACACATATGAACGCAAATGTTAGATCATTGCAGCTTGCACATACTGTAGAAAGCCATCAGAATCAGGTAGATAATGTTTAATAGCTTGCATCGTTTTGAAAGGCAAGATGCATCTGATGCACAGGAAACGAGCATTCGTACGGATAAAATTAAAAAAAAAGTTGACGGCCTAGGCCTGAACAGATATTGCGCGTTGACGCGCTCTACAAACGTGTTTCGATAGATTTGTTTATTTGATAGTCATGTCACATAAAATATAAGGTACAATACATGCCTCTCTATACTTGTCTCTCCATAATATCGACTGTGCATTATAGCAATGCTTAAAATGCCTGCGTTTTCGAAGTGTCAGTAGTCTGAAATAACCTCTTCCTCATAACAATGCCACACCAATTATAGTTTGCTACTTTTTTTATTCAACGCAGCCATGAGATTCGTTTATTTGTATACAAACTATAAGATGAGAGTAGATGTAGGAGTGAATATAGGAGTAGAAGTGCAGCCCGAGTAGTGGTAGGAGTAGTGGTAGGTGTAGGGCAGAAGATCAGGAAGGAGAGGGATGGGTAGGGGTAAGAAATGGGGATAAGCAGGATGAAGCAGAAGTCGGGCGGACCATATGCTGGGGTACGGGCAGAGCGTCGAACTCGTCATAGGCGGCGGAACGGGGGGGGGGGGGGCACCGGGGCACCGTGCCCCCTTTGCTTTTGGCATTTTAACATTAGCCCTATGGGCGTTGCATGGAAAGAATGGGACCAATAGTCGGCAGTGCCCCCCCCCCCCCTTAATTGAAGGTGTTCCGCCACCACTGGAACTCGTGTAATAATCAATGAAATTCATTCTGGTGTTCTTCTTGTCTGTTGTAATTGATATTCCCGAGCATGTCATGCCACCGCATATACATTTACAACAGCTACAAAGAAAAACAGATCAAGGCTTTGTTATGTATTATAAGCCTTGACACATTCAAACCGACGGTTCACACAATGAAGATGATGTAACACATAGCGCTTAAATCATAGAGATTTTATATACACATACATGTAAAGTAACACATATAAGATCTCTATTGCTAAAATAACGTCTGGCAACGTACGAAGTGTTGCAGGACAATGGATGTGTTGATTCATCAGGGCTCGAGAAAAGTCCACGATCGGGTGTCGGGTGGTCATATAAAAGTTCGGAAAATATAGTAGGTACACCCTGTTAACATTTGGTCCACGTTCAATGTCATGTAACATAATTACACAGGGTACCTCACAAGAAGAATTGCCTCCTACAAAAGCATTCTATTGCAAAAGTTGAGCTATGGATATCTACTGCTAAGTTAGTTCATGCTAAAATCAATGTAAGAACTGCGCATCTTTAATTGTACGATAGCATCAGGTAAAAAAAACACACACACACACACACATCGGAAGTCTGGCCTTATTGGAAGGTAATTGTTATAGCGCCATCTCACCACGCCTCCCTACCCATTGTGATAATTAGCATGAGCTAACTTGTAGCCATACATGCATTCTTTTCTATATAAAGCGGGAAGTGATTCTTAGAAGGTAAGCATTTTGCCATTGGTGCTGTTTTATAACCACCTGACTAATAGCGCGACCACACGACTACCTCAATCACTGACCACATCGATCTACGAAGATCAGCACGGAAACTGAGAAACAGCCTTTGCACCTGCACAGGTAAAGTGAGCGCCGCTATACGGGGAGCTCAATGCCACGGGATCGTGCATGTGGTTATTCCTGGAAAACCCTAAGCTGAACAACTTAAGCATCTAACCACAATCCACGCTCACTTTCAGTGCAACGGTTTTAGTTGGACAGTGATGTCATGACCAGCCTCTACCGGGCCGCCGGCGACGGCTATGTTCCGTACAGCAGACACACACCCTGCTAAACCCCGCGCCTGACCACCCCGCTCCGTCAGCGGGACACAGGCGAGTCGCGACAGCGCCTGTTCAACACACAACTAAATGCCACCCTCCAGCGCCTGGCCCCGGCAGCAGTCGCACAGTTCAGAGGCGCGCAGGCAGTGCCGCAGCGTCTGTCGAACGGCCTGGGGGCTGGGTGAGCCGCCCTACAGCTCCAGAGCGTCGACCGGCCGCAGCGGGCGGCGTGAGCTCTCCGAGTAGAACTGGGAGAACCAGCGCCGGTACTTGAGGATGGTGGCGTCCTCACGCACCAGGCCCGGCTGCGGCAGGTGGTCCTTGTTGTTCCAGATGCGCACGTCGCGCTCAAACTGCGGTACAGAGCACAGACCAGCCATCAAACTACCTGTAGTTCGTCCGAAAGGGAGCCTAAGATATTTATAGCCTTATGAATTTATATCGGCTTTCTTCAAAAATCTTTAAATATGCAATTACTTGGAGTAAGTGGTAACAGAGCAGAAAGCTTGTCTAAAGCAGATGATATCAATACTTTTATTTTTACTTTGCTAGCCCTAATGCTAATTGAAAGCATGCTTGTTGACATTCACCGTTACCATACACTCGTATGCAATCTAAGCTTCACATTTATGAGATGCACTTGCTTCCATTGAATGAAATGCAGACGAAATAAAACTGACGTCCAACTTCAAACGGAGACTAGTCTAGAATAGACGTTACTTGAAAACAGCATTAGAGGTAGGAGCTTCAAAGCAGCGTCCCTGCAATGTAGAATCGAACTATGTCTGGTGAGTTACACATTATTTATATCTCACAAACATTATAAACTAGCAATAATGCATTATGCTTAAAGAAGCATCATGCAAGTAAATGACTGGTGTGAGCATTCGCTTGCTGCTTTCGACTAGCTCGCGAAAAATTCCAAGTAGTAGGATAAACATGTATATTTTATAATTAATTCTTTTGGGTTCATGAATGACAATATATAGCTATTGGTCATGCCAAAAGAATTCATTCAAAGCTATCGAAATAAGAGTCTGATTTAATTCCGAAAGTTCCATTCAAAACCAGGAAAGAAGCGGCAGATAAGATATCCCTCCATATAGAAACACGGGCGACAGATCCCCCATCCTTCGTTACATAACTGCCGCGTTATGTAATGCGTCTCGAGCGACAATAACTCATCCCTGCAGAAGACGCTCCTCTCAAAGTTACCACGATGATCTGGAAGTGTCCAGATGTCTGTTACCACCGGGAATTTCCGTTTCTGTTTGGAATGCAGCAGTGCCGCCGAATCAGCGAATTTTGCACATGGTGGAAGGCGGCGGTGCTAGTGACGCACGGCCCGTTCAAGTCCCCGAGTTAAGCGGCGCAGTATCGCGGAGCGTGCAGGCGGCTGCTGCGGCTGGCGGCGGCGCGGCCGTAGTGCAGCGCCAACCGCGCCGGGCCGCCGCGCCGAACGCAGCCGGCCATAGCCATATGAGAGACCTCGAAATACTGTCTGAGCGACAAACAACACGCTACCATATACTAAACTTGCATTGAAAATGCCTCTCTTATCATCATTATCCCGGCCGGGCCCGGGGGGTAATCCCAACCACCGCAGCCCGGGGGGGGCGTTTTTCGCCCCCCCTGTCTAGTTCCGTAAATAAGGGAGCTACGGAAACAAAAGCGATACCAAACGAAAGGTCCTTACGAGACGATTCTAAAGCACCTAAAATTTTTGACCTCAGGTCAATTTTCAAGGTCAGAGGTCAAGGTCAAAGGCAAAAGCCGGCACATGTGTAGTGATCTCAAAGTAAGCCTTCTAGAGGACGGCAGGCGGCATCAAACCGGCAAAATTGGGTGTCAAACGAAAGAAGAGAATCTGAGGATTCCGAAAATGTGCTCAAAATTAAAGGTCAAGGTCAAGGTCACGCTCAAAATTGACCTCAAACTTGGCACTTTTTCGCACATCTTGCGTGCTAACTTTCAAGATGTTTTAAAATGTTTTGAGGCTTATCAGTTCCCTATTTGTGGTTCCTCTTACGATACAAGGCTGCTCAAAGGTCAAGGTCACTGAAGAGTATCCCTGCTAGAGGCTATTTCACTAATTCAAGTTAGTAATAATAAATAAGACAATTTTGCCATCCGGAAGCTCTAAATGAAGGCTTAGAGGAAAATAGATGCCAGATTCGTGATCAGCGGGTACAAATCCATCATAAACGACCTTTCATGTGTCAAGGTCAACCAGAGGTCATTCGAGGTCACATGAGGTCAACATAAAACTTGACCTTTTCCGAACAAAATATATATCATTCGACGCGGCTTGACAAGGCGAATGCGATGGTACCACTGCCGTAGCTCTAGGACCGTTTTTGTCGAAGTTATTTGCGAAAAACTAAAACCACATTTCGGGGTCGTTGACCTGACCTCTGACCTCAGGTCACCAAAACTATTTTTCTATTTTTCTCTAGGTCAAACGATACACAACCGTGCTCGTAATTTGTCTTTATCTCTAAAACTTTATTTTTGGCAGCTATTTGAAGTTTGCGTCTGTGACGCCGAAGTTTGCCGTGCAGGGGTCTAGAAAAATGGACCTTGTGACGTCATCAAGGGGGCTAGGTCCAAATTTTTTACTTCAGAAGATGTCAAATTGATGGGAGAAAAGGTACTGAAAGTTTCGCTTTCCTATCCCTAAGCGTTCGGGAGCTATCGCAAATATTCGCCAGGGGGGGCGAAAAACGCCCCCCCCCGGGCCCGCGAGGGTTATGGTGTAAACTGGACACATCTGCTGTTACGAAATCAACTATCGCGTTTGTTATGGTGGTGTTCTAGGTGAAATAAGGAAGTGTTATAATAAAACTCAAACCATTTAAGAGAGAATAATACGAATTCTTTTAAATTCATTCCCCAGGCCTAAAACCATTGCATTCTTTGGAAAACTCGTGTATTCATACACCTTCTGGGATTGTTTTGCAAAAATGAATATTTTATCACCCTAACAGTGATAAAACATTCGGAAGCGTACGTACCTGGTTTGCCTCGACCATCAGGTAGAATTTGGCGATGAGCGGTCCGAGGCCGTAGGAGCGATCCCAGTGGATGGTGTGGATGACCTTTTGGCGCAGGTCACCCACCGGAGTCACCAGCTGCTGGATCACCCCGCTGCCCAGCGGCGACTTGAAGTTGATGTACACCAGGCCCGGTCCAACCTGTAAATGATACGGCAGAAAAACAGGATCACTGTAGTGATGCTTCAGAATGAATGGAAGCAAGCTTTAGGGAACCACTTTTACGCAATATCTACTCGTTTATTTCTGTTATGCACTGCTAAAACATTATTCATAAAACATCATGGTGAATAACAGCCATTGCCATGAATAGGGTGGCTTGTGGCTTTTAAACTACATTGCTGATACTTCCCTGTAACCCTGTTATCTAATCGACTGCATCATCGACTCGCTCACGTGATTTACAAACACTGATCGGACATGTGACGGCTCGGAATGCAAACTTCGCCACAGTTACGTAACCACCCTCTCGGCGCTGACCTGCCGCACGGTGATGTCGTTGTGGTAGAAGTGCAGCTTTCCCAGCAGCACGAACGTCATCTGCATGTGCACGAAGGCCTGGTGCCGGTGCTCGGCGTCCGGCTGCCAGCTGGCCGTCCAGTTGTGCCGGATCCAGCCCCACCGGGAGCGCTCCTCCAGGTCATTACCGTCGGCGAATATTTTCTCGTGGATGGCGGCCAGATGGGCCGGGTCGGCACCATTCTCCGGCAGGTCCTGTCGGCAAAGACGCGGGATCACACGTCAGCTGTAAGTCAGCTGCACGTTACAGGTCACAGGTCACAAGTCACAGGTCACAGATCACAGGTCAGCTCAGAACGACCGCACTCGGCGGACTGTCCAGTCGAGTACGACGGTAAGTGCGACTTAATGCGAGGTCAGAGAGTCCAAACCATGGGTCAACAGAGTGACGTCGTAGTCTGTCCTTCCTGACCTTCAGCTGTGACCAGCGACGGCTACGGCTAAAAAGTGTCGCTGAAAAAGGAGGCAAACTGATGTGTGCGGTGCCACCGCTAGTGTCATCTTAACAAGCTCGCGTCGAGAGAACGGTGAATGTCGCAGGAGGCCTTTTATCACATGACATATACTAACATTGTAGTTTACATAATCGCAAATACATAATCGTATTTACTTACATAATCGTGACACCATCGCGGTTGACAAGATTAAACTAGCCCACATGGATGTGGGTGGGCGGCTGTACCATATTTGTGGGCGCCTCTCACAATTGAGTGCACACGCTTCTCATCAAAATGTGTGGTTCTCTCCCAGCGCATGTTCCCTCATCTCACCTGAATGTGCGCGGCCACGAGGTGCTCGGTGCGGCCGCGGTACCGGTAGTGCCCCGAGGCGATCTGCTCGTAGGTGGGCGGGTACCAGCTGGGCGGCTCGCCCTCGGCGTGGTGCCACACGTGAATTACACCGTTCGCCTCGAACACGGGCCACGAGGTCACCGAGAAGTGCTTCAGACTACCTGCCACAAACGAACGACAGACCAACAGTCACGCCACTAGAAACGCAAGCTGTTGCAACTTGGTTGTATGTGTTTATCGATTTGTAATTTTGTGCTCATATAAGGTTTCAAATATAGCCACTGGTGACATCCAAGTACCTACTGATGAGCTTACCGTAATAAATATTCACTTCATTGCCATGATTATTAGTCACCTCAATCTAGGAATAACGTTCAAATGCTATCGATAAAATTAGCACCCCAACTCACTTTTGCTCTGTTTGGTGTACGGCACGCACTCGACCTGGCCAGTCTGGCCGTTGAAGAGCCACTTGTGGAACGGACACTCGATGTCCTCGCCGCGGACGGCGCCCTGCGCCAGGTCGGCGCCCAGGTGGGGGCAGATTCCGTCCAGCACGCGCGCCTCTCCGGCCCGGGTCCGGAACAGGACCAGATGCTGACCTGCCGGCACCGACAGTCGCGACGTCAGGCGGCCGTCTGTTTCAGTCTGTTTTAGTCAGTTTCACAAACTATCTCAGTCTGTTTCAGACTGTCTTGGTCTGTCTCTCCGTTTGTCTGTCCGTGTGCCTGTCTGTCTGTCTGTCTGTCTGTCTGTCTGTCTGTCGGCGCGCACCTCGGGCAGTGATTGCGGCGCGATAGGGTGCGCGACGCGGCCGCCGGGACCTGGCCGAGTCGCCGGTTCTGGCCACGGCCGGCGGCCGTCGTCTCTCAGAAAGGAGCCGAGTCCGACCCTCCTCTGCAGAGCGGCAGCAGCAGGAAGAGGAGGGGAGCGAGGGGAGGGAGTGAGCGCCGCCCGCCGACCCATCCGGGTATACAGGACACACGCTGAGCGCTATCCCAGTGAAAACTCCCCACCCAGCCAGCAGAAGCTCCTCACCGTCCAGTCAGTAGCTCCCCAGTAACAGCCACCAGCAGCTCTTTGCCTACCTATGCTAAACCGTGTGTCTGTCATCTCCAGCCTCACCAGTCCCATACCCATCACCAGCCGCTTGTCACCAGGACTTGACCTCTCCGTCTGCTATCCCCAGCCTTCCACCTGTAACCAGGATCTGGTCTCTCTGCAATCCCATCACCATCCCTCTATCTGCCACCAGCAGCTATCTGCCGCCCTAGCAGCAGCTCTGTCGAGTGTCGCCCCTCGCCAACCATCGCCCCGCCTCCGATCAGCAGCTCTCCCCCGCGTCCTTTACCGCGGCACTTAATCCACAACCAGCCCTATCCGGCCTCCCCTGCGCCCGCCGGTCCGACCGCACATTTCTATTACATCACTCGTCCGACATTTACTGTCCGGCACCCCAGCGGAGCGTACGGCTCGACGGCTCGGCGGCCGCTCCACCCTCCGGCCGGCGGCGGCGGCGTCTGACATTGGCCCTGGTGGCTCTTCTTGACCTTGCCGTGGAGGTCCCAAGAGTGGGTCACCGGCTGCCACCCCACCCGGACACCCTGCAGGAGCGCCACATATACGCAGCGATCGGCGCCGCTGGCTACCGGCTGGAAACAAACTCCCCTCCACTCTCCACCCATCCCCATACCGGTGGCATGGCACAGATTCTTCCGGTTCCGCTTGTGTCCCCCCAGCACGTGACGATATTATGCAGATATTTGACCATAGGACAAATGCATAAATATATCGCCATGTGTGTGTTTTGATGGATGAATGGATGGGTGGATGGATGGAATACGTCGGCGACAAGTTGATGCCACTTGGCAACTGATGTCTGAGAGTCAGTTTTGAACGAGTGCAACAAGTAGTCCTGATTAAATCCCCAAAAATCTTCGCTAAATATTTCAAGTTACTCCGGTTCCATTAACGAGTTTAACCGGGTCGACCGGTTGCGTGAAGCCTGGAAGGAGATGAGCTAAATATAGCCGTCGTGTTTTTACATTATTTCTTGTTTGCATGCAAATGCGGAATTATTGCCACTTTCTAGGCCAATAAAGAGGCGGAGAAAATCCTGACCACTGCACTGAATATTCCGCACCGATTAGTTATTCAGCTCAGTTCGATTAAGCTAGCCAGCAAACATTTGAGATCATAACAGTTCAGCTTAGCCGTTCACACCGATTGCACTACGTAGAAGTATGTCGAGTGAGATTGTGCGTCAAGGAGTATGTTGAACAGGAAATGCAAAATTTGTGATCTTCGTGAGGTCTGCACTTGCTGCATTTGATGTGTTTGCAGTCAATACTAATTCAAGCTAACAGCGCTTTATCGTAGAAAAATATCGATACTGGATCATTGTTGTGGGGGGCCCTGGTCAGATTATAACAAAATCACACTGCACCCAAGCGACCCTGCTGAAGAACCTGCCCAAGCCCCATCATGCAGGAGCCCAAGAGCCTGCGGTAAGTCGTTAGATGTCCGGTGAGGTCGGTGGAGGAGGGATCTGTGGACCTCGGGAGACGTCCACCACTCACCGAGGATGTCGAGCGGGCGCACCTGGCCGGGCCGCAGCTCCCTGCTCTCCAGCGCCGCGAACCAGGCGTTCGGGTACGGCGGCGGCATGGCGGCCTCCTTCTGTCGGCGGCGCACCTCGTTCACCGCCGCGCACCGCCGGCTGCCCAGGTTCTTAGTAGAGTCGTCTCGGATCGGACCAAAGTCCTCCGCCGCCTGCCGCGCAGGGACCGAGGAACGTGCGTTAGACATGGCTAGGATTTCATTTGCTCACGCAATCGTTGCTGAATGAAATGGAAGACGAGTCGAGCTTAGTTCAATGTGGCCACCTCAGTAAAGATGTGTCATGACTTATTGGTCATGAAACAGTTAAGTGGAACGTTTATGTACCGGTCAGTAGCTACGAACTAACAACCAGTTGCTATTGCGTAGGATAACATGAATATTGTTAACGGTAAGGACAATGTGACCTTAACAGTCACTCAATGAACAGGAAATCTACCAGATACCTACCCAGAACTTCCCGAGCAATGGGGCATCCCAGAACCTGTGCAACAAGATCTTCTGCTGACATGCATTTGTTCACTGAAACATACTTGTAATTCCAGAAACACACTCGAACGGTGCTGCCATATATTGTTTACATTCACAGAGCACCAGGTCCAAGGTCATGCCGTGCCCGAGGACACGGAGGTTTTGTGCTGCCGCCTCAGTAAAGCATTCCGTTCCGACTACATGGCCTTTCCCAGGCTAATAACTCCGGCAACCATGATATCGATAGAAGCGAATCACCCCCATAAATGGGTACAGCAGAACGCCTTGAGTGGTGTGCGGACAGGGTCCTACGGAGGGGCTCCTGGAAGCCAGAGGTCTGCAGAGTGAGGACGAGTGTCCGGAGTTCCTGCTGGTGGTGGGGCGGCCCTCGTGGGCGGTGGTCGTCTGCGCCGGGCCAGCCGGCCGACCCTGAGCCGGCACGGAGGACGGCTCGCCGGCGCCGGCCGTCCTGCCGGCCGCCCTGCTCCCCTGCCGGCCGGCGGCGCACACGGGCTGGCCTTGCCGCCGGCCGGCGCGGAGCATCGGCACATGTGCAGATAAGTCACGAGCCGACCAGCCCTCGCAGAGGACCGACGAGCAGTTTGGCCCCGACGTCCGGCCGCCGGCGGGATAGGGTAGACGGGGTGGGGGGCTGGGCGGACCGAGCGAACCGCGAGCTGCAGCCGCGCTGCCCCGAACGGGTCCAGACCACGCCGCTGCTACACGGAACGCCGTTAGACCAGGTGGTGCAGAGAAAGCCAGGAGCCAGAGACGTCAAATATGGACTTTGCCAGTACTGAAAATGTCATGTTCACACTTATAGCATCTAATACTTTTACAAGATAACGGAAAGTGGTGCTGGTATGTTTTGGGACGCATATTTCGGGAACATTAGCATTCCCGTATGGGCCGTATGGACATGCATTTTCATCCTTATCGTGGTATAGACTCCACTGAATCATTTGCGATCTCTCACTGGACTCTCTCTGGTCTACTATTCAATAATTCATTAAAGCAAGCACCCGTCACAGTGTGTGACATGAGATGCAGTACAACGTACGAACAAGGCGCAGCAGTCGGTACAGCTTCTTTCCTGTGTAACCATTTGGCACTCACCTTGACTCGGTTGTAGGGCACGCAGTACAGGGTGACGGCGTACCACAGCAGCCACCCGACGACCAGCAGGCCAGCGCCGTAGCTGGCTGCGACCAGCAGCTCCTGAGTGCTGAGCTGCTCTGGACTGACCAGCAGGCGCGCTGACATTAGCGCCAGCACCGCCCAGCACGCCGCCTCGCGCATGAGGAAAGCCATCTGAAATATAGGCAGAGGAGAAGAGGTGTCAGAAATAATGTGCGTCGGACACATAAGGAAATAGCTATAAAGCTCCATGGTGGAGCTACTTCTTGAGCCTGACTGGCAATGAGCTATCAGCTCCTGATGGATTAAAGACAAAGTCTTTTTTTCTGATTAAGTTTCTGAAATAATGCAGAAACAATCACCTCTGGGTCATTCCGTCGCTCCGTTAGACATTACCTAGCCCGTGTCCGAGAGCCGCTCCCCCACCGGGACCCGCGCACACACTGTACTGCCGTGCTCACCGCCTCACGCACAGTGTCACTATTTGTACGCGTGTCTGTCGCAGCTCTGCCAGAGACGAACCGCCGCGGGCGCCGCCGGCGGCCACGGGACCGGTCACGTGACCGGGCGGGCCGCAGACCGGTCTCAGACGCCGGAACGGTGCGTGGGCACAGGGGCACGACTTGCTAGCAGTATCGAGCTGATCGTTTCGCTGGTGAGCTGTTCTTCAGATCTGTTAGCAAACTCTGCAATGATGGACAAACGAGGCGTCCCCGCATAGTAACTATATCCATATCTAAGTCAATTAATTGTGTACCTATATATTTCAATTTTTCTTGAATGACTTCACATTCCGGGGGTTTTAAATATCAATGTAATGAAGCTAGTCGAGCCTTTTTCCACAATTAGGCTAAGATGCCTAATTAGCGACCCCCTTAATTTGAACCATCACTGCTGACGCTCTGGGTGCTACTGTATTACTGGCTTGATTTTCGGATAGATCGTTCATTTTCTATTAAAATATATTCATTTTCTCTCCCAATATCCACTAATTTATTTGTAGTGAGCATTTTAGCAAGCCATTGCAAAAAAAAAACGCAAATAGGGAACTCGTCCTGATTAGCGACCGGGGAGGGTCGCTAATAGATCTATGGGTTTTCCCATAATAAAAATGGTAAAAATGCGACGCCCTAAAAGTTGAAATATGATCCAAAATGCAACCCATACCCAAAGCACTCAATCACTGGAACAGGAGCGTTTATCCAACACCTTTATGAAGATGAAAACTGATCACGTGATGCACCAAAGGCGAACAAAAGGCAAAAACCCAAATTTTGCGGGCTATCTCGTATGATATTCGGGACCCGCCCTGGATTCGGCACCCCTGCAGTCGGTGACGACAGTTGGTATCACCCGACACACATCGCAAGCTTCAGCAACACCACATTTTCATTTCTCTCTTTTCCCCGTTCTTTCCCTTATCAAGCTATTTGCGACCATGTCGGGCGCAAATAGGAAATATGGGTTGCGATACATTTTTGACCACCATGCAGTGCACAGTTAAGCGATTCACTACGGGAAAACGGCAATCAATTGAAAGAGGATTGATTCAGAATAAAAAATGGTGCATCATCTTATTGTGCATCGCTTTTCAGCAGGTAGGGTTCAAATACATACGTTTTGGATAAGAAACTGGTCATTTTTATCTAAACTCTCCTAGAACGTCCCACCAGAATCGACAACCGGAAAATAATTTAGTTTGATAACCGAAGTATGGCAGGCCTTTTGGCATGATTTTCACCCCGATTTCTCTTGCCAGGTTTTCTGTAGAGAGGTAGATCGCAAAGAGGAAAGGGTCGCTAATTAGGCACCTTACCCTACCCATCACATTTTCTAAAGGCGAGGCTTTAGCAGGAGAAAAACGGCGTGTAAAGAATGATAGTGTTTATGAACGGTTATTACTTATTGTTAATCTAAACTTGTTATTTCATAAAAGCTCGCGTATGCTTGTCACTCGTTATAACATATGTGGAAGAATACCGCAAAGAAAAGACGGTTGAGGTTATTAGCTGGCAAAATACATGCGCCGTTGAAAAGACCGGATTTGATAAAACACGGTATATGGTGTGGGCTGACCTTGACAATGTCAATCGAAAAGAAAGGTGAAATTTCAGACGGGACAGATATGTCAGAAGGTGATCACAGGTAGTGATAACACGGCATGTTTACCTGGTCTACCAAACATACAAACTAAAAAAGAATAACCAGTAAAATTGTGAGCCAATGTGTTTTTGAATGCGTTTATTGTCGCGCTACAGCGAAGAGGGACACCGGACATGGTAGAACTCTTCCCGAAGAGTAATACGACGGGGCATGATAGAACTCTTCCCGAAGAGTAATATGACGGGGCATGGTAGAACTCTTCCCGGAGAGTAATATGACGGGGCATGGTAGAGCTCTTCCCGAAGAGTAATACGACGTGGCATGGTAGAACTCTTCCCGAAGATCTTATGACGGGGCATGGTAGAACTCTTCCCGAAGAGGAGAAAAACAGAGAAGTGCTTCATGTTTATTTTGGTAGCTGAATTATGTCGAAGTTAAAGGGCCATTGACTGCGCCGTCCTGCTGGAGAATTTATTGACTTCAAGTGCCTCAGATACCTTTAAAAGTTATTTTGAAGAAGCCCAGTAAACGTTATCTTTAACTATTGCAGACGCAATCTACATATGTATAGCGCGTCTCGTGGTTCGATGGGTTTATTATTGCACTTCCACGTGAACCTCACCACTTCACTCAGATTGCTTCCATTTAGGTAAATCAAAGCCTTTAACTCCTTGTTGCTAGGCTAGGCAGACAATCCCGCTGCACGAGCTGCTCTGAGTTGCTGAGGATGAATTCTGAACGTTTCATCAGTCCTCAGCTAGCAACAGCAGCACAATAAGTTGCATCACTTCGGGGTCGGCATAGAATATAATGGAAGGTCGTCCGAATGAGATGGACACAGAAGGAGCAAGGGCCGACCACCTGCCGAGCTGTTCTGCCGACCACACCGGCGGAGGCACCGCCACGGATAATGTGGGGTGGTGGAGAACCGGCTGCTGTGGCTCGCTTTGGATGGTAGCTATATACCCTGGTGATGCACTGCACTGAAAATAAATTCACACCCGCTCCTGGTGTTTACACCTTTTTAGGAAATGTTTACACCCCACCGTTTTTGAGCACCTGCACCGGTGTAGTTTCAACACCAAGTTTTGGTGTAAGCATACACTGAATCCTGGTGTAACACCAGGCATATACACTGGCGTATGGTGTTAAATCACTGTAAGTACACCAGTTTTTGGTGCTACACCACGTCTTTACACCATAAAAAGGTGCTACACCATTAATTTGCACCTTCTTTACGGGTACAAAACAAATACCTTTACACCAATGTGTGGTGTTAGCAGCCAATTGGGTACACCCCCTTCCGGTGTTGTGAAGGAGATACACCGGTGTTTGGTGTAGCTGCATCTCGATGAATTAATAATGTATATATATATATATATATATATATATATATATATATATATATATATATATATATATATATATATATATATATATATATATATATATATATATATATATATATATACTTATACGTGTGCATGCGTCTGTGTGAACATATGTGACAAGTCCATATGCGTATACTGTCGCTTGCCATAGACCCCATACAAAGCAAAGCATTCCTTAAATAAAGACAATTTATTTTGTAGCGTCCGAGACGAGCAATAAACAAATGTTATTAACAAAAATTGCGGCAACTGTGAGTGGCGCTTTCTCAAGTGCACGGGTGGTCACCGGACTCTGTTTTTTTTTCTAAACAATCTTGGTATGATAACCAAAGCACTATGGTAAAGAGACTCCGCGCCGCCTGGAGCCCTAACTCACAAGTCACAATGAACAGGAAAGCAGGCTCATGAACTCAACTGAACGTCATCTTTTTGTCACCTACTTAGTTGGAGCAGTCAGCCTACTCCAGGCAGCTCGGAGCCTCTTTGGCATGGAGCCTATCTCATCCGCCCTCAGCACATGAACGTTCATGAGGGTGGCCGTACACTGGCATGCCGTGAATGTCATTGTCTGTGACAGGACGGAGAAAACGATTCCCCACAGGAGCAGTTTGTCCTGGCTGCTTAGCACGTTCGTCTTCACGACCTCCGTTTTTTTCCACACACAGGTTCTCGCCCACAATACAAGGCCACGCCTCCATGTTTGTTGGGAACACCGCGTCGTCCTCACCCAGCAGCGACAGCAGAGCTGACACAGTATCATCTGCAAGGGAAATGCACTGACTTAGCTTGCGCTCCGCAAAAAATATTTTTCAACATTCAGCAGTCAGTACCTTATCGCTTTGAGAAACGTGTAGAATGAACTCACCTCCACAGCCGGTCTCCAACTTCACGCGGTCCAACACGTCTCGGAGACGCTGTGCGCAGTCGGCTTTGACATCTCCTTCCCAGCCTGTCAGTCTACCGAACTCTTTCCACATCTGCAACAGATAGTGCACATTTACTAAAATGGTGTATGTTGCAACTTCAAGTAAACTCACAGTAAGGCATAATGATAGTTTAAGGTGCGAGTACATGTTTCAGTGATTTACTGCACGAAGGTCAGCAGGTTCATTTTCAACTGTGGGTAACGAAGATTATTACCCTTGAAATAAGCTGAGGAGACAGTGCCTAAGCTTCACTGAGTGCAAGCGTTGATATTACACTATTACTACCTATCTCAAACCACCCCTGGCAGTGCCAGGCTGGCACTGAAGAAAAATATGATAAACAAAATATAAAAAAATAGTAGATGTTTCAACACATATCTTTTAACCCGCGCCCCAGTGGCGGTCTCAGCCAACTTCGCATAGTGGGGGGGGGGGGGGCATATGTTACCACCCACCTCTAACTCAGAAACTAAGAGGGCTAGAAAGACGCGGTAAAAAGCAGTCAATAGCGCTCAATGCGTACGTTTGAAAGTATTTCAGTCATTTTTCATCTTAGAGCAATATAGGGGTCACCAGAGGTCATCAAAACTCAAAATTTGCCATTGTCATATTTTAGAAAACATGCCGTTATCCCAGGAACTATGATACTACAAAAACGCATGGAAAAGCAATCGATAGCTTTTGAACTTTTCTTTTGATAAGGTCATCATCAAAATTGACCTCAGGTCAACATTTTAGCCTCCAGAGGGCAAAA